CCATTCCTGAGCTTTTTGCCTTTGCATCCCAGACAGCCTCCCCATCCGGGTTCTGTGAACTGACAGAGGGCTGGAGGGGGCAGGGCAGACACTCAGGGCACAGGAAGCTCTGAGGGGACGAGAGAGTGGTCACCGGGTCCTAGTTGTGCGGGGCACATCTGGGCTTCCCAGCCGTGGGTCCTTCTGCACGACAGCAGTGGTTTGGGGCTATGAGGAGCTCCCCCTTCCCTGGCCCCCACAGGCACCTCTCAGAGGGCCCATCGTGCTGCTCCCCAGAGCCCCCCGAGTTTCCGCTGCTGGCTGCTGCAAAGTGCATTAAGTGACACAGGGCTCAAGAATTCCAGCAGGTGTACCAGGGGCATTCGTGGGGAGGAAGGAGAGGGCCAGGAGAGCTTGGCAAGGGGCCGAGGAGGGGAAGGCCACACCTGGCCTGGGACCCGCGCCTGGGGTTGGGGAGATGCTGGCACTCAGTTCAAGGGGGCACCACACACCCGTTTTCAGAAGCACCTCCTTTATGTCCCCTGAGGAACGGTGTGGACCGATAAAGGCCCGCGCCCTGCCTACCAGGGGCTCGGGGCTGCGGATGGTTCCGGAGCCGCCCTGCCCTCCATCCCTGCCCTACTCCGGCGGCCCGAAGTCGCTCTGCCCGCCGCCCCCGTCCACTGCAGCGACCCCATCCCAGCCAGGGACGTCTGCTTCCGGGCCCCCTTTCTCCCGGGGTGCATAGCACAGTGTTGGGCACCGAGCTGTCACCCGGCCCCCGTGACCGGGTGTCTGGGCTGGAAGCTGGGACTGTGCGCGGTGTCTGTCTCCCTCTGCTGGTCCCTTAAGGGACAGCCCGGCCAGGACGCTTTCCACAGAGCTGGTGGCCTCCCCGTGTCTCCCCAGACAGTGGTGGGTGACTACTGCAGGGCGGAGGAAAGGGCCCCGGGGCTCAGGCCTGCCTTCGGCCTGGACCGCTGGCACTGCCTCCTGGGCCCGGGACGCCTGACACCGGCCTCTGACGGGGGCCCCGAGGGGTGGCCTCCGGTCGGCCTTCCCCATAGGCCAGCAGGCCCCAGGCAGCCTCCTTCCCCTTCCAGCCCATGAATGGAACTGTCAACCGTGGATTTATCTGAACCTTTTGTGAAGCTATTTCTATTTCCAGCCGAGACCGCATTTTGGAGTAATGAGTTCCATCGGTGTCCTCCCCTGCTGGGGCAAGCACGCTGCCTTTGATTTGTCCTAAACTTACCTCACTTGCGCTCCAAGGGGGCCCTGGAACCCCAGCATGCCAGGTTTTGGTGAACAAGCTGGAGCTTCCCCTTTTGCATCCCTGCTGTGGGCTTAAAAACTTCCATCCCTCTCCCTCCTGCCGCCTCCACCCTGCAGCCTGAAGAGAGAGCCCTGGTTTCTCTCGGCTCCCCTCGGGGCTGACTTCTGCCCCGACTAGTGTCCTCCTAGCATCTTCCAGCCGCTGGTGGCCTCCGGGCCTTTCTCTGGAGTGTTCCTCCGGGGAGACCTTCCTCCCAGATGCCTAGTGGGATTCCCTAGGCTTTGTCCACGCGGATTTGTTTCGTTTCTGGTCCTGACCCTGAAGTATGGGGAGGTGTACTAGATCTTTAGGAACACCGGGGGAACGAACCCTCTCAGCCCCCCACCCCGAGGGAAGGCCTGCTGGCACCCCTCCTGCAATGTCCAGGCGAGGCTCAAAGCAAAAGCCACGCGTCCCATTTGCAGTCACCCCGAAAGTGGTGGAACCAGACAGAGGCAGGCCCGTACCCCGAGTGCCCTCTGTCCGTCTCAGCGCGCAACCTGGGATCAAGTCTTGCCAACTGGCTGGACGCTATACTCTTGGCAGGGTCCCCCAGCGAGACCACACGAAGACTGTCTCCTGTGTGTGCACAGCCCAGACGACCTCCTGCAGAGGCTCAGCATGGGCTGGTCCCTCCACGGCAAGACGGGTTTTTGTCCTGTATGCGCTCTCCTGCAGAGAAGTGCATCTAATGCAGGTTTAATAAATAAATTACTTCCCTCTGGGAATTCCCACATTTTTCTTTAAAGATTTTATTTGCGGGTAATCTCTATGCTCCACATGGGGCTGGAGCTAAGAATCTCGAGATCAGGAGTCCCATGCTCCACTGACCGGGGCGGCCAGGCGCCCCTGAATTCTGGCATTTTTAAACCTAACCAGCTGGGTAAGAAGTGGTGGTTGAAGGGAGGAAATTTCCCAGCAGGTTAAGTATTTTAAAAGTTTGAGATGGTGACCACTTTCCTCCATTCGGTATCTGCCTCACCACACACATATTCCCACATACTTACATACTTACGCACCTGCGGGAGGCCACCTCGAATATGGGGTGAGGCTAAGAATTTGGGGTTGAAAAAATCCTGAGAGCATCTCAGGCGAAGCCCCTCAACGTATCAAGGAAGAATCTGAGGCCCAAAGAAGGGCCTTGACTTGCTTGAGACGGTGTGTAGGGCTGGAGCTATACAGGTCTTGACTTCTGGCACAGACCCCGAATTGTCTTTGGGTTCCTATACCGATCCCTCTTGAGACACAGCGTTTTTGAGGTTCGCGAGGCCCTCCAGACCTGAAAGGCGTCACTACTTGTGCCAGTCGCGAGCCTGGAGAGGCCGCCTGCCTTCGGTCAGGTCTTCCTTCCAGTCCCGCAGTCTGCGGGGAGCAGGACGGCCAATCCCAGCTCCTCACCAGAGCTGCGGCCAGATGACGGGCCCAGGGAAGTCGAGCGCCCCTTCCAGAGCAAAACACAAGGTTGGAAGCAGCCTCAGTGAGCATCTCACACCACCAAGCACGTTGTACAAATGAGGAAACCGTGTGTGTGTGTCTGAAGACTCATTAAAAATCGTGAAGAGTTTGGGGTGCCTGGGTGACACAGTTAAGCATCCGCCTCTTGGTTTCAGCTCAGGTCAGAGATGGAGCCCTGAGTTGGGCTCCGTGCTCAGGATGGAGCCTGCTTAAAACTCTTTCTTCCTCTACCCTGCCCCCCCGCACTCTCTTAAATAAACAAACAAAAACCAAACAACAAACAAAGCCTGAGGACTTTATGTCTTCCCCTCCCTCTCCAGGGCCCTGCCTCAAAGACCTCAAGGCCCTAGGACCCTATAGCCCCACAGGTGTCAGGGGCAGAGGCCGGGTGTGATTGTTTCCACTCCTTGCCTTCCAGAGAAACTTGACGTCTGCCTCCTGCTCCAGCTGGGCTGCTCAGGTAAGGGAGGCGGGGCAAAGCTGTGAAAGCCATGCTGAGTTACCCAGGGGTAGAGAGAGGGAGAGACGGAGAGAGGAGGAGAGGGAAGTAAGAGAATAGCTAATGCTAGGTTCTTTTGTGGGTTTTCTTTCTTTCTTTTTTGTGGATTTATTTTTTTGACAGGGTGTGTGTGTGGGGGGGGGAAGCTACTGTCCAGGGAAGGATGGGACTGTGGGAAGGTGCTGGAAGCTTCCTAACAGCAACCTATGAAGACACATGTCAAACACTGTTGCACTGTGATAAGTGGTGGGGGGCTGTGCACAGAAGGCCTCTCTGAGGACCAGCCACTGAAGCTGAGCCCTAGGAAGAGTAGGAGCCAGCGTGTGAGAAGGGGGACGTTTTAGGAAGGTCGGTTTGGTGCTGTCTGGAGAGTGGACTGCAGAAGACAGCGGGGAGGCAGGAGACCGCTCAGCTCCTATAGTCGTCCAGGTGACAGAAGATGGTGGCCAGAGCCAGGATGACAGCCATGCCATGTGTTTGGAAGATGGAGCAGTCAGGGCTTGCTGAAGGGCTGTAATATGTGGAGTGACAGAGGAGGGTCCAGGATGACTCCCAGTGTACGCTACTTACGTGCCTGGGTAGAGGTATTACTATTTACACTGACTTCCCCCACCCCTCAAGGCAGGAATAGCCTCCCCTAGCATTCTAGAGAAGTCTGGTGATGCACGGAGGCTGAGGGCAAGGAGAGGGAGAAACAAAGAGGCAGGGTCCAGCATTGCAGGCCAGGAGCTGGAAGGCAGAGGGCTGAGAGACAAATACCACTCCTCAGGGCAGACAATACCGGAGGGTAAGGCCGAGCCAAACCAGCCCTAAGGAATGCAGGGGTGCCCAGGGCCCTTGGAAGCACTAGGGAAGCTTGGTGCTGTGGGGGCTAGAGCTCAGACAGTCCCTTTGGACTTCCACTTTGCAGACCCGCAGCCCAGGGCCCAGAGCGAGGGGAAAACTTCCCTGGCTGACCAACCCCCTTCTTCTGCACAGTCCTGGGGGCTTTTAAAAATGGCCACATAAACGCAATTCCACTCTGGTAAAACGTTTCCAGTGCTTCCCACCGGTGTCCCTCATCGTTTGGCAGCCTCCATCCCTCTGCGAGGCTCACGGACCACTTCCCCGTAAAAGGAGCAGAGCCCACGCGCCACTGACCCTCTCCTCTCGCTTCCCCAGCTAGGTACACCCTTCTACCCCTTTCAGCCCCGAGAATCTTCTGGTCTTCAAGGATGCATAACGGATCCTCAAAGCCAGAATGAACGGCCACTCTCCCACTCTGGGATCCTGCAGCAAACAGCTTTAATCTCTCTAGAGCTGGTGGTTCTGTGTCCGCGAGGATGCTCCAGCTCCAACCCCAGATCCACGGAGGCGCCCGGAAGACCGTACTAAGCTACGCAGGAGGGCTCGCCCGCACATCTCAGCGCTCCGAGCCCGGTGCTCGCCGCCTCGCACTGGGTGCCTCGTGCCCTGCGACCGCGTCCGTGCTTCTCGTGCTCGGCGGCGCAGCCTCCGAGGTCCCGCAGAGCCCGGCCGGCTCCCCAAGGGCGCGAAAAGGCGGGGGCCGGCGCTCTCCGCTCGCGTGACAGCTGCCGGGCCCCCTCCCCCACCGTGGACTCCGTCACGTGACGGCGGAGCCGGAGAGCGTTTTTCTCACGTGACGGAGGCGCCCCCGCAGGGGCCAATGAGAACGCGGGGGCGGGGCTTCCGGGGGCGGCGCGCGGGAAGGGAACCCCGGGCCCCCGCGGCGGCGGGTGAGACCCGGAGCAGAGCTGCGGGCAGGCGGGCTAGGGCTCGCCGCCGGCCAGACGCCGGTCTCAGCTCCGTGGGAGGCCAGGCTCGGCCTCGGCGCCGGCAGCAGCATGAAGTGTCTGGTAACGGGCGGCAACGTGAAGGGTGAGTTGGGGGCGACCGGGTTTGGGGGGCGGGGGCACGTGGGACCGCCGGAGACGCCAGCCTAACCCCCGTTTCCTTTCTCCTCCCCGCAGTGCTCGGCAAGGCGGTCCATTCCCTGTCCCGCATCGGGGAGGAGCTCTACCTGGAGCCCATGGAAGACGGGGTGAGGGGGTGGGTGGGATTACAGGCAGGAGCCAGTTTCTCCCCGCGTCAGGCCACTTGCCCTCGGGCAGAGCTGTCTGACGAGTTTTTCCCCGCCGCTCGTGGTCCGGGCGTCAGTCTGGGCCCTGCCCTCTCCCCAGGCCGGTGTGTGAATCGAGAGCCACTGCCCTCCCTGAAGTACCTGGTGGCGGGTGGGGGCAACTAGGGGGGAAAAGATGGAGTGCGCGGACGGTTGTATAGGGCCCTTGCTGTGGGAGCAGTCGCTGCCGGGGACTCGGGGAGGGAAGGCTTCATGGAGAAGGCACCCGCTGACCGGAAGGAGAGGGAGGATTTCAACAGGTGATGGTGGAGGAGGAGGGCGTTAGGACGAGTATGTGAGCAAAAGCCGGCCAGAGGGCAGGGCCTGACTCTGCCCCCTGATCGCGTCCCTCCCCGTGCTTTTCCTGGCCCAGCTCTCTCTCCGGACCGTGAACTCCTCTCGCTCTGCCTATGCCTGCTTCCTCTTTGCCCCACTCTTCTTCCAGCAGTACCAGGCGGCCGCCCCTGGTCAGGAAGCCCTGCGCTGTAAGATTTTGATGAAGGTGAGGCCTTTTCCTCACCAACTGTGCTTTGTGTCCCCTCTGCTCACGTCGTCCCCCCCCCACCCCAAAATGTCTGCCCTGGGGGCATTCAAAAGGTGCTAACTGGGGAGAGGGATGTGTGCAGGAGCAAGCGGGTGTAAAATGCGGTGAGGAGCATAAGAAAGACACCACAGAGGGTGATGGGAGATATGGTGAGGGTGATCGATTCTGCCAGGGACCTGGGCAGTGGTGACATTCACTTTGGTCCTTGAAAAGTAAGCAGATCTTTCAAGGCATGCCAGACTGGTGTGTAACAACTTGAAGAGGGGCCTGGAAGGGTGTAAACGTGCATGTTGTGGGCATACCCTTCCTGGCACGACAGTGCCGAGCCTGGGATGGCCAGGGCCTGTGTGGGATGTGAGAGCTGGTCGGTGGAGACACAGCACCGGGCTGATGTGTTCCCCCACTCAGTCATTCCTGGCCGCCTTCCGCTCACTGGCCACGGTGGAGAAGAGTGTGGAGAAATGCTGCATCTCACTGAACGGCAGGAGCAGCCGCCTGGTGGTCCAGCTGCACTGTCGATACGGTGAGTGGGCAGCCGGCCGGCCCAGGGGTGCCTGCAGTTAGTTGGAGGGGTGGAGGGCAGGTCAGCAAGACCCACTGAGACCCTGTCTGCCCATCCAGGGGTGAGGAAGACTCACAACCTGTCCTTCCAGGACTGCGAGTCCCTGCAGGCCATCTTCGACCCAGCCTTGTGCTCGCATGTGCTCCGTGCCCCAGCGCGGTGAGTGTGTCCTCCAGCTACAAACCGAGCCGTGGGTCTTGTTTTTTCCTTTGGAGCTTCCAGGGTCAATTTAAGAAGACACCTTCTTCATCTTCTCTGCCTCTCTCTGAACCTCAGAGGGTTTATCCAGACCAGCCTGCTCTCACGTGTCGGTCTCGCTGTTTAAGGACAGAGGCTGGAATGGAGGAGGGCACCGCTCTTTGCTCCCCAGTCTTCAGGAACCTGTGTTCTCCACCCCAAAGGTCCAGCTTGGCTTTCTGGCCATTTAGACCGCTTCTGACTCCTTTTTTAGAAAGCACGTCTTTGGCTTCCCCTTAAGTCCTCTTTCCATGGTTTGAACAGCCTTGGATGTCCATCTCTAGCTTTGTGACTCAGGGGCTCAAAATTCTCCTCTGGTGGGGTCATCTTTCTGGGCCTGTTCTCCACTCAAGGGTAGCCTCTTTTCCTGTCTGCCTGGACTGTAGCTTTGAGGAGTCCACAGGCCGAGGAAGGAGGCTGGACAGGGAGGTCATGGTCCAGGAGGGCTGCCTGAATAAGGTGCTGTGGGGGCGGGGGTGTTCTGGGAAAATCAGAATGGGGAGACGGTATGCCGGCCTGGGAGATGGGGACTCGGTGGAGGCAGAGGTCCCTGCCGAAGGCCAGTGTAGAGAGGGGTGGCTCTCCTCCCACCCTACGCTGTGTGCTGCTTGCATTTGAGTAGCCCAAAGTCATCTTCATTTCTTTTTGTAGCCATGGGGTGTGATAATTTGAAGTTCCCTTTGGGTCCTGACGGTCTGTTATTTCTGAGTTCTGTTGAGATAATGCTGTTCAGGACTCCTTCAGGTAGAGAAAGAGGGACGTATCTCCAGTGGTCTGGATTTTGATGCTATTTTTTTTTTTTAATGAACAATTGTTTTCTTTTTCTCATGGACAATTTCAAATTTGTGTGAAAGTGGATGCCTGCCCCTGTCCCAATGGTTGTGAGACAAGTTCCAGATGTTATTTCATATGTACATATTTGTCAACATGTATCCCTTAAAGGCAAAGATTGAAAATCTTTTCTGTGGTCGCATTTATAGGGATGGCCCAGGTGGGCTTTCCCACCCCTGGGAGGGCAGGTGCTGCTGGCCTGGTTTGGCCCAGTGCGAACAGCCCAGCCTTTCTGTTGCCTCCTTTGGGCTCTGCTGTTGTCTGCCCCATCCCTTGCAGGGGACTTCTCTCCCCCAGCAACCCCCAAAGGAAGCTTTGGATGGGTAAGAGCCATGTCCTGCTCACCTTGTCCTTCCCAGGGCGTGCTAGGGCCGGCACATGGTGGATCCCCTCCGACATGGTACAGGGGTCGCAGCCCTGCCTCAGCTCTTGTAAGAGTGAAGCCACGGGGCGGGGCTGAGCCTTGGGAGTGATGCTGTACCCCCTGCACAGGGTCCTGGGGGAGGCTGTTCTGCCCTTCCCCCCCGCGCTGGCAGAAGTGACGCTGGGCATTGGCTGTGGCCGCAGGGTCATCCTGCGCAGCTACCAGGAGGAGGAGGCAGGTGAGAGAGCCAGACATGGCCTTAGACAGGGGGTTAGAGCTGGGGTGGGAGAGGGGAGGGTCCGGAAGCCCAGGCTCTCCTGTTCCTCCCTTGGCAGACAGCTCCATCAGAGCCATGGTGACCGAGATGAGCATCGGGGAGGAGGATTTCCAGCAGCTGCAGGCCCAGGAAGGGGCGGCCATCACTTTCTGCCTCAAGGAACTCCGGGTGAGGTTCCCCCCAGCACACTCCCGCCGCCGTCCTCCCCGCCCTGCCTGGGGCCTCACGGCTCTGCTTCCCCCTCCCAGGGCCTCCTGAGCTTCGCGGAGTCCGCAAACTTGTCCCTTAGCGTTCACTTTGATGCACCAGGCAGGTAATTCCCGGCCTCAGGTCAGGGAGGGGAGGCTCTGGGAAGCCGGGAGCCCAAGGGCCCTGACCTTGCCCGGGACCTGCCGTCTGCCTAGGCCAGCCATCTTTGCCGTCAAGGACTCCCTGCTGGACGGACACTTTGTCCTGGCCACGATGTCAGAGTCAGACCTGCACTCCCCAGCCCTGTGCTCCCCAGAGCCCCACAGGCTGGTGCCTCCCCTCCAGGCTCACAGGTGAGGCTGCCCACCTGTGGGCCTGCTCCTCCCCACCCCCATCCCTCCACACCCTGGCCCCCTGGCCCCAGCCTGCTGCCTGCAGCTTGTGCACTTCCCCCAGCACGCACACTTCCTGTCAAGCCCAGCCTCGCCGGCTCAGCCTTCCTGGTCAGCTGTGCTCAGAGAGCCCTCCTCCCACCCAGGGAAGTGTCCCCAAGGTCGGGCTGGCTTCCTTCTCTGGCTGAGTCCTCCCTTCTGAGCCTCTTGCCGGGCCAAGGAGGGAACAGGCTGCTGGGAGGCAGGGGGCTGGCTGGGGCTGGGGAGAGCAGGTGGCTGGAAGGGCAGGTGGGCTGGGGAGGACGACGGGCCCAGTGTAGCCGAAGCAGAGGAAGTTTGGTCTGGCCCCCCGCCCAGCACGTCCCTGGGCCCCAGTGCTCTCCAGCTCGGTCTCCGGGGAGGGCAGAGGCTTTGGCCCCAGGTGGCCTAGCTCAGAGGACTCGATGCTTCTCTACCCCAGCTGAGCTAAACCGGCTCCCAGGATGCTTCCTTCAGGCCCCTATCTGAACTCTGGTCAAACGGATTCCAGGCCCCGAGCCTTGTAGGAAGCCGCCACTGAACCTCAGCATCTTTCCCCCAAACAAATGAGAAAGTCACGAAGCCCCGAGATCAGCAGTGGTCATGAGGCTTCTACTGCTCTCTCAGTCCTCTAAAGTGGGGTCCTGCCTCTATACCCTCTTCTGTGTGGCTCGCTGACACCCTCTCCCTGCCAGCAGCACGCCCCACCTGGATGACTTTGCCAATGACGACATCGACTCTTACATGATCGCCATGGAAACAACTGTGGACAGTGAGGGCTCCCGGGCAGGACCCTCCATTCCCCTTTCCCCCGGCCTCCGGCCCCCCTGTAGCCCTGGCCCCTACTCTGAGGACAATGATGCCGAGCCCAGTACAGAGCCTGGGACTCCCCCACCCAAGAAGGTAGGGGTTGGAGATGGGGGGGGGGGATGGGAGGGGGAGGCAGGGAGGGAGCCTCCAGGACTCACTCTGCTTCCTCTGATCCCTTTCCAGTTCCGCTCGCTGTTCTTTGGCTCCATCCTCGCCCCTGCACACTCCCCTCCGGGCCCCAGCCCTGTGCTGGCTGAAGACAGTGAGGGCGAAGGCTGAACTGAGGACAAGCCTGTGTCCAGAGGCTCCGGACTAGATGAAGCCGCAGCCGCCCGCTTCCCTGGGCAGCAGCCCGGAGATAGGGCTGCTCTGCACCCGGCTGGTGGTCAAGGTGGGCTGTGCTGAGCTGAGCGCCGGTCCTGCTGCCACTCCAGGTGCCTCCTGGCTATCTGGACTAGCCTGGGTCCCGTCTTCTCATCAACTTCTAACCAATCATGTCTGTTCCTAGGCTTGGCACCGAGCTGCCCCCTGATGGAATGTCCCTCACCTATTACCCAGCCCCTCTGTAGGCCTTTAGGCCAGACTCCAACCATGTGGCTAGGGCTGGACACCTGCCTTCCCTAAGTGTACCTCCCTAAGACAAAAATCACAGAGGGGCTCTTGGCCCCTGCCGGTCTACCTTCTTTGCCAATCATGACTTGTCCCTCCCCCAAATCCCGGGCACACCTTTGGGATCTCTTGTGGCCAGCTAACTTTTTCTTCCTTTCTCTGTGCCGTCTGGCCCTGGCTTGGGATTCTAAGTCCCTGTGGACCTGAGCCTATGGCTGGGCTTACCCTGGCTGGGGCCTCATGCCCAGCAAGCCTGTCCTCCCAAGTGGCCCTGGATAGAAGGGCTGCCAGCCCAGTCCTTGGGACAAGGGAGACAGAGGCCATGGCGAGAATCCAGCTTTGACCTTTATTCAAGAGACCAGATGGGTTGCCCTAGGATCTGTCTGCCGGCCCTGAGGCCAAGCAAGGCTGGAAACCCATATCTGGCCCTGCTTTGCCCTGAGCTGCAGCCTTGGCCCCAGGATCCTGCGCGCAGCCACGGCAGGTGCCCGCGGAAGGAGCCCTGGGGGATTGGACGCTGCTTTGATTCATTAAAAAAAGAAAAATACACCAAGGCTCCGTGTTCCCCATGACAGGTGGGCCTGGGGGGCCAGCATGAACCACCCCCCACGGCCACATAATTTCTGTACAATCCACCACCTGGGGCAGAGTGCGGGCACGCAGAGGCTATTTCTTGGCTTTGGCGGAGTTGCGGGGTGGGGTGATGGGCCGGCCTCCAGGGTTCAAGCCACTGAACTGCCCGTATTTCCCCTTGTTCTTGTCCGCGGGCTTGAGGATCTGCAAGAGACAGAGCTGGTCAGGCTTACGGCTGAGCCACGGAGTCAGAGGCCACTACCTTTCCCATCCCCACCTGGAAAGAGCACATGAGCGTCTCGTCCACACTCATCATGGCGCCCGCATTGTCAAACTCGCCACAGTAGTTGGGAGCCGAGAAGAGGGTCACCAGCTGCCGCTTGGCGAAGAACTCATAGCCGTCTTCCACCACCTGGATGCGGATGGTGGCAGTCGGCTCAGCAGGTGCTGGCTACCCAGCCCCTGCGCCCACCCGCCCCAGAGCTGCTGGCCCACCTGGTGTGCCCGGCAGATGAGATCCAAGTCGTGCTTGTGCAGGAACTTGGCCACCACCTCAGCCCCAAACGTAAAGGAGACACCACGGTCATTCTCGCCCCAGCCCTGCACGTCCTTGTCAGGATCAGACCATAGCAGGTCACACAGTAGGCCCTGGTCAGGCACGTCTGTGGGCCGCATGATACGCCGAATCTGTTCCATGGACTGCAAGTCTGGGGACAGGCCTGGGGGAGCATGAGAGGGGACAGGTCACTTCCTCAAGCCTCAAAGACCCCCTGCCCCACAAAGCTTCTGAGGGTCAGTCTCCCCTCCACCTGCCACCCTCTGGCGCTCTCCTAAAGTCCCAGGAGTCCAGGCAGGCAGAAGTCATCCCCTTCGGCCTCAAGGACCACAGAGCTCTCTGAACAAAGGAGACACAGTCCACACACAACGCCAAGGCCAAAGTGGGGGAGAGTGGAACGGAGTACTGGGGAGGGGTGGCAGGGGCTTCCTGGAAGAAGTGACAAGCAAAGCCGGAACCCTGGGAGAGCTGGGAATACATCCCCCCAGCCCCCAGCCTCCTCCCAGGTACCCCGGGGATGTGGCCCAGGGGCTCTTCCTTCCCTCACCTCCGTGGCAGCAGAAGATCTTCTCGTCCACGATGGCAGCGATGGGCAGGCAGTTGAAGCAGTCGGTAAAGGTTTTCCACAGTTTAATGTTGTAGCGTCTCTTGCCTGTTGGGAGCAATGAGAGGCCTCAGGAGGCCTGTCTGCCGCACACCCAGCCTGGGTCTCTGGGCCCTCCAAGGCACTCGGTGCTAGACACAGCTGGGAGCAGGCAGTGGCAGACAAGAAGAGACGCCCCCCCTCCCCCGTCCCCGCTGCCTACCAGCCTTCCTAGAATTCTAAAGCAGCCGAGTCCACAGGAACCTGAGCTCCAATCTAGAACAACCCACCCCCACCCAGGGAGCAGGCCAGGCCAAGACGAGGTCTGGTTTATCTCAGCTTCGGGTGGGCAGATTCCAGTCCAGAGAGGCATCCTAAGTGCTTAAGGGATGTGCTGGAGGGGAGTGTCATGAGGCAGGGCCCTGCACAAGGACACTGGGCAGTCTTTGTCAGCAGCCATTCACCAGACCGACCCCTCCTGGGCGCCAGACCCCAGGCCAGGAGGGAAGGGGCGTCCCCTGTAGAGATCTCAGTCTGCAGGTATCTGTAGACACCGGTACCTTTACTGCCAACCCAACGTGAGGGTCTCACTGGACAGCCGAGTCACTTAAGGACTTGGGAAGCCTACTCACACTCATCATAGAAGCCGTAGATGCGGTTGATGCTGGCACACTCGTGGTTCCCACGGAGCAGGAAGAAGTTCTCGGGGTACTTGATCTTATAGGCCAGCAGCAGGCAGATGGTCTCCAAAGACTGCTTGCCCCGGTCGACGTAGTCCCCCAGGAAGAGGTAGTTGCTCTCTGGAGGGAAGCCACCGTACTCAAATAGCCGCAGGAGGTCGTAGTACTGGCCATGGATGTCACCTGTGACCCAGGGGACTGGTTCAGCGCTAGGGGCAGGGGTCACACTTGAACCCAGGGCCAAGTTTGGGCGCCAGGGAGGAGCACTGCAAGGACTTGGGGGGCAAGGGACGGGGAACGCCACTTTCAGAAAGCAAAAGGGGCCGAGACGGAGGGGGGGGCGCGGGGCTCACCGCAGATCTTGAGGGGTGCCTCCAGCTCCAGAAGGATGGGCTGGCTCAGGAAGATCTCCCGTGATTTGAGACACAGACCACGGATCTCGTTCTCTGTGAGCTGTACATTCTTTCCAGGCCGCGAGCCCTGCACTGGGGGCGGAAGAGGGCATCAAGACTCTGGTCCCTCAGGCAGGAGGAAGGTGGGCGACACAAGTGGCCCTGTTGGCACAGCTGAGGGCGCCTGGGTCTCCTGGGCCCCTCCTTGCCCAGGGGCAGCTGTTGCTGCTGAGCCTCCCAGGATGGGACCCCTTGAGGGGGTCCGCTGTGCGTCGGGGGGCCTGCCACCCAACAGCCCAACCCACAGCGCACGATCCCTGCGAGGGGTGGAGCTAGATTTCTTAGTTTCTCCTCCACCCCCAGGAGCACAGGCCAACCTGTGCACCCCCAGCCCAGGAGAGGGGGGTGCTCCCCGTGCCAGAGCGTCCCCGGAACGTCCCAAGCGCCCCGCGCCTGGGCGGGGGGGGGCCGGCTGTGGACGCGGGTCCTCGAGGCCCGTCCCCGCCCAGTCTAAGCTGGCCCTGGGAGGGGCAGGCCCGCCCGCGCACCACTTCCGGGCCCGGCAGGGGGCCAGGGCGCGGCGGGCACCGACGTCCCCCGCCCCGGCCAACCTTCCAGCAGGCGCCCGATGATAGAGTCCAGGTTGAGCTTCTCGCTGTCGGACATGGCGGCGCCGCCGCTCCGGCCCAGCAGCTCCGGGCCCAATCCTGCCGCCCGCCCTCCCGCTGCCTCCTTCCGGCCTGGCGCTCCTTCCGCCCGCCCCGGCCCGCCCCGGCCCGCCCCGGCCTGCCGCCCCGCCCCGGCCTGCCGCCCCGCCTCCTAGGCCTGCCGCCCCGCCCCGCGCGCTGCCCCCGCGCTCTAGCGCCCCCTCTGGACGCCGGGCGCAGCGGCCGCGGAGGTCTGGGGGGCGGGCCATAGGGGAACGGGCGGGTCTTGGGCTGGGTTTGGTCTGTCTAGGACGAAGCCTGGCCAGTGGGTGGAGCTTGGCGGGGCGGGGTTGAGTCTCGTTCCGCCCCTAGGAGTGACCCGTTCCGAGAACATGGGGCCGGAAGTACCGTGAAAGTTTTTTTTTCCTATCAAAGGCTAACCAGCCGTTCCCACCCTGGGCGGGAGTGTGGTGTGTGCACATTAAAAACCGATTCTCCAAACGCTGCGGATTAAGTCCTCGAAGTGCCAAAAAGGAAACTGAGACTCAGAGATAGCAGGGGGCTGGTCCAAGACCCTGGAGTCCACCTCCTGAGTCTCTGTGGCCCCCAGGCAGCCGGCCAGACACCTGCTGCTACATTCTGAACCCAACTTGGTCCGCCCTGTGGTGCACGCTAAATTAGTATTTTTTGTAAGAGCCACTGTTACCTGCTGAGTGCATAGTAATGCCGTATTATGTGCATATTCAAAACATTACCTTGTAAAAAGCAAATATTGAATAAACCATAATTCTCACTGGAATCTTAAAATTTTTTAAATACTTTTTTTATTTATTTGACAGAGAGAGATCACAAGGAAGCAGAGAGGCAGCCAGAGAGAGAGGGAAGCAGGCTCCCTGCTGAGCAGAGAGCCCAATGCAGGGCTTGATCCCAGGGCCCTGAGACCATGACCTGAGCCAAAGGCAGACACTTAACTGACTGAGCCACTCAGGTCTCCTTGGAATCCTGAATTGCTTTACAAGCTGATAACCTCAAAACTGGAGGGGGCCTGGCCTCTGTACGGCGAGGGTGGGTCCTGGCCCCTTCACACCCACCGCAGGAACCCAAGTCTGCAGCCATTCAGCCCATGGGGAGGGGAGGGGAGGAGCCCATAGCCCTGGGCAGGCCGGAAGAGCCTTGGAGAGGAAGGGGTGATCACCCCCCTCACACACTTGGGAGGGGAGTGTGGGAGGGGCCCCCCAGCGGGTTGCTGAGGCTGCCCGGAGGAGGAAGTGAGAGGAGGAGGTGAGGTGCAGCAGGGAGGTAAGCCGGACTGGGGGGGCAGGGGCTGAGTGTGGGGCTGGGCCTCCATCCAGAAGCCTGGCTTTTCTGCCACTTCAGGGCCCTCCCCTCACCCCAATAAAAGAAGGGCCAGAAGGGGCTTGGTGAGATGCCTTGATGCTTCTCCCCTCTGAACCCTGCAGCCAGGTCTCTGGGCTAGGGATGGGCTGGATGGGAGCCCAGGTTCCAGGCTGGCCAGAAGCAGCCTCTCACACTGGCTTTCTCCACATCCTACAGCCCGTGGTAGCTTGGGTCTGGGGCACCATGGCCCAGGCCCTGGGGGAGGACCTCGTACAAACTTCCGAGGGGCAGGATGACTCCAGC